ACGAGCGATTCGATTCGCAAAAAATATCGCGCTTTGAAAACTGGTAAAATAGATGAAGATGTAGCGTTGGAAAGACGCTTCAAATCCATCGTCGAACCTCTAAGACAAATTGTCGAGGAAACACATCCAATTAAAAAAATAGCCAATGTTGCAAAGGATATCGTATCAGTAATCAGTATTAAGAAAAAAAGAAACGTGAAGACAACGATGACGATGACGATACTACTATTACTACTACTACTACTACTACTACTACTACTACTACTACTACTACTAACAGAGATTAGTATTGGACGGATGTTGGATGGTTGAAATTATTGCCGCAATCTAAAAAGCGTACAAAACAATTGAATATCGCGTCAGATTCATTCGCGTTCGATTCTATATCGATAGAACCATCAAAAGAACTACCGAAAATACCGCTATTCGTGCGAAATGAAAATATTTTTGAAACAAAAGACGTTAGTGAACCGTCACTCGAAACAATCATCAAACAGAATCTGCAAACGCATGGAAGTCGTGAGACGCTTCATGGTCAGCTAGGACCATTGGGACGAAAGTACGTGGGCCTTCTTTTCGGTGACGACATAGATAAAGCGATCGATAATGTGTACGGTATCTTTTTCGACAAAAGTGGTACAATGCTCGGACAAAAAGTTTGACGTTGACAAAAATGACTCCATAATCATAGATAATGTGAGATACAATGGTACACCAGGATTATACGAATTGATCTTCAAGAGATTTCCCGATGAAGCTATATTTACCGAAGATGACAAACAAACGTATAAAAGTATACTATTAACAACGAATGCTCATAGACGTGGTCACAGCGCCCATAATCTCATCATGGACAAGAGATACAAGTACATTAATATCATCGCTCCGCTCGTATCTACATATAAAAGAAGCAGTAAAAAGGGTGCAGGCATGAATAATATACCATCCACCATGAAGTTAAACGACAACAAGATCGATTACGTGCATTGGGACGATCCACGAACTGGTGGATCGACTTCGATTACTCGACGCTTCGCACCGAGCTGGTCATAACGCTCACGACAACGAGATGCTGTCGATCATCGAGGAACTTCGCGAAGCCGGCATTATTATAAATTAAATCGCGTGTCGACGAAACGAGCCAGTCGATTGACGTCAGTGAGGAAAAAAACTTTAATTGTAATATATCTTATTTACATGCATTAATATCAAACATCGTCGAAACATGAGATCGTCAAAATCCGATGGACGTTAAAAAAATATTAACTCCGTAAGGCGACGACTCGTCGAGGAATTGCAGGCTCCAGCCAGAAGAAATTTTCCACGAAGACGTGTCATAATTCGGAGATACGACGATCTGTGGCAAGATATCGTCGAGATGCGCCCATATTCGAATTTCAACAGAAGTCATCATTACATACTCATCGTTATCGATGCGTTGAGCAAATGCCTGGGCCGTACCGCTCAAGAGCAAGATCGGAAGCGAGACGGCTAACGCTATCGCCGAGATAATTCAAGAGAGAAGATGCCCGAGAAATTTGCAAACGGATATGGGGAAGGAGTTTTACAACGCCGATGTGCAGAAACTCTTGAAAAAACATAGCATTAATCATTATTCCACGTATTCGATATTGAAGGCATCGATCGTCGAACAGTTCAATCGCACACTTAAAAACGACATGTGGAAGATGTTTACACTTAATGGTACTTACAAGTGGGTCGATGCGCTGCCGCGTCTCGTGTTAGATTACAACGCGCACAAACATCGTACTATTGGCATGCGACCCATTGACGTAACTCCCGCGATCGCTAAAAAACTCTTGGGCACGGTGCGATAAAGATCGCAAGTCCAGCAAAATTAAAAGTAGGCGAATCGATACGCGTGAGCAAGTACAAGACAGTTTTCGAAAAAGATTACATGCCAAATTGGACCACCGAGGTGTTTAAGATCGTTAAAGTGCAGCGTACTAATCCCGTAACCTATCTACTCGAAGACTATCGCGGAGAATTCGTTGCTGGAGCGTTCTACGAGCACGAGTTGCATCACGCGACTCATCCGGACGTGTATCTCGTGGAGAAAGTACTGCGTAGGAAAAGAGATAAGGTTTACGTCAAGTGGCTAGAATTCGATGGGTCACATAATTCTTGGATACACAAAAATAATGTGATTTAATTCATTTATTGTAAACAAATATAAAAATATTTATATAAAAAATTTTAAATTCATTCATTTTATTGTAAAAACAAATAAAAAAATATTTATATAAAAATATATACAATAAGTCTTATTTTTTCTTCCATTACATTTTCGTAAAGAAACTATACAGATGGACTAACTAGATAGATAACGATGAACTTAAGATAATATATAAAATGTATAAAACTACGGGAAATACGTACATGTGTACATATAAACTACAAGTACATATAAACTACAAGTACATATAAACTATAAGAAATACATACATATGTATATGCATACGTACATATGTGCATAAATTACAAGTATGTATATACGTAGACACGTACATAAATACATACGTGCATACATACATATGTGCATAAACTACAAGTATGTATATACGTAGACACGTACATAAATACATACGTGCATACATACATATGTACATAAACTACAAGTATGTATATACATACGTACATACGTACATATATATATGCATACATACATATATACGTACGTACATTACATGCTGTATATATGTACATACGTACATATGTACATATATATGTATAAAACTATATAAAAAAAATACATATTACAAAGGTATTCGCCAATGTCCCCATGGTAACGTTTCCGTCGAGTCCGGTATGATGTATCGTTTGTCATCGTATGGATTTAGAGCAATTTTTGACTCGGATACCGTATATACTTGGTGTAACTTGGATCTTATACATGACTGGCGACGAGTCATTTCGATCTCTTCATTCAAACACCGTGTATAATCATCGAACGTTATTGTTCGCGCTACGACGTTATTCTTATACTTTTCGCCTTTTTGGTGTCCTTTTTATCATCCACTTTCATCGCATACATTTTCGCTCTGAGTTCGACAAATTCCGTCATAATCGCACAGTTATTTTCGTCCTTCATTAGGCCGGGTACTTTTTTATTTACGAGAGACATACCATATGCGTTGTCCGTCGGATAATCGCTCGTATCGAATCTAGCGATATCGCGTTTCATCGTCTCGTACACATCATCGCACTCAATGTGATATACAAGACTGTCTGTGTCGGTGTACATGATTTTACATTTGTCGCGATACAACGGTAACATATATTCGTGATGAAATTCGTACAAACAGATTTTTTATATATCGAGTATACACATACCCACATAAATCGACTTGTTGAATTTTACCTCGAGTTTATGCAGTTCGACGGCGATTAAATTTTCCGCAAAGACGCTGCGGCTGTGGAAATTTGGTTTCGCGATCATTGTCTCCGCACCGTATCGTCCGTTCCATTTCGTTATCAATTTTACATCCACGTGATTCCGGACATTTTCCATCGTTTTTACTGAATACCGCGTTGTTCATTAATTTGTATAAATTTTTTTCGAAATCGTTTTTCGCGCACATTCTAAGCTGTGTATTAAGTTCGATGTAATCGCGGAGCCAGGTGAATTGAGCGAATTATAGTACGTGGTGTATCTTTGCGATACGAAAACCGTGGCGCGTACATTGCTGCAGGTTACGATAGTGGATGACATATCGCTTTTTGTCATATAGCGTCGCGAGAAGTTTATTCTGCCGCGTGCCGGGTGGTTTATCGTGCGTCGGACAGAAAGGTAAGTCAGTGTGTCGGTCGTGCAAATGATGCGGATACTCGAGATCGACCTCGAGAATATAACCCGTAGGCGAATCCAGAACGATCGCGCTCGCGTCAAAGTTCGCGATGTCTTCAACCCATCGAAATTTGGCATAGGGCAGCGGTTGACACATCGCCCATCCGTATAAATTGTTCACGTCGTAGTACATCAACGGTTTCGACGGGTCGTACGAACGCATGTACTTGCGTTCCTATTGGCCTGCGTGTATCTGTTGGAACATTTACTGAGGCCGCCGCGTATACCGCGTTCGATAAACATAACCATATCGATGTCGGTGAGCAACTCAAATTTTACACGCGTATGTTTCAGCAGGGCGTCCCACGTGAAACCTGGCAATGTGTAGGAATGAGCGAGATCGAGACTGTAACTTTTGATATAACTTTCACGGAAATTTTCAAAAACGTCGGCCAATAATAAGACATCAGTCTTCAAATATAAATCGTTATATTCGCCTAAGGTTTCAATAGAGAACCGCTGCCAGATGTTCACGGCGTGCGCGTAATCATTCTCCGACACTGTGTTACCGGTCAACGAGCTATAAAATGATTCGCGCCATGATAAGCGCGTGTCCTGCAGCTTGTCCGCGCGATCCACGTATTCATAAGGAAAGACACCTTTACGCGTCAACAAATCAAAATCCTCGTTCGATAACGTGGAAAATTCGGAAAAAAGATCTACTTAAAAAAGATGTCAATTTATCGAGACTGGTACTCAAAAATTTGTACGAATCGATGAATCGTAATTGTACACAATTTTGCGAATCTGATCTATCTTTGACATGTTTAGTGAATGAAATGTATTTTACCTTTGTTATCGGCAGCACATCAATTTTGCCTTCGTACGCCGTAGTTATTTCTGTGATAACAAAGTGCGCGTTATAACCGGATAAATTGTGAAAGACTACAGGAATGCAATATGATTTTTTATAGTTTAGATTGCAATTCGAATGTGCGGGTCCGCGGTAACGACCGGTAAGATGGCAATGATCACGTACCCGCGTGTCGTCCGACGCAAATGATTTCTCACAAATGTGACAACGCGTCGCGCTACGGTATGTCTCTCACTGATCTCTCGATAATGTTTCCATAGGGAGATTCGGAGATAACAAAATTTTTATTTGATGCGCCAAATTTTCGAGTTGCCGAACGAATCATGCAACGCAGTCTTCGCCGCGACGAAATTGAAACGCCGATAACGCATCGTCGTACGAGCATCGCACATAATATCCTACGCTAAATACCTTGTGCTGCTGTTGATATGTGTACGACGTGTTTTCTCTTTTCGGCTCCATCTTTCGCAGTATGCACTCAAGATCTGCATAGACGATGAATGGAAGTCGTTCTTTGTTGCAGTAGTTCTTGTAGTCGAGCCACTTGTCGTCCTCATTCGGCAGTCGGATGGCGCAATCGTTCATCCGTTCGCAATCCACCGTATGCGATTCCAATTTCTCGGATGAATTAAAATAATGTAAACATCTGCAAACGGAAAACATGATTTTTTAGTATTTCTAGCATTTAAATTAACAATTATAAAATATTTTACATATTTTATATATTTTGTTAAAAAATGTGCATACGTACCGATCACAAAAGTATTTCTTGTGTTCTTTTTTACTTAGTTGCGAGCTCACAAGACGGGATAAGTTTTTGATGTACGCGAAGTGTCCATTATCGTCGCGCGGATCCTGCATACAACAAATTTGCATGTTTCTCCATCTTCTTTGTTGTCAGATGTATTGGGAGAATCTCCTTTTCCTTGATACTGTAGACGTTGATAGAGATTTCGTTGAGATGTTCGAACTTTTTAATTTGATTCAACGTCATCGGAAACGTAATGTCTTGGAGATTTAACACCGTTGTATAATGTGGGTACGATGATTCCCGATTTATATGCCTTTCGACCGGATGCAAGGTCGCGACCACTGATCATGCGAAACATGCATTGTCCGTTGACTGCACGTTAATTACCGCTCTCTTTAACATAATTTTCCGCGGTAACTCGATGTAACACCCCGCGTGCATGGGATTATATTTATTAACATTAATTGTTAAATTTAATATACGTGATAGCGCCCATCCACTGTCGCGTTCTTGAAATTCTTCGAGCGATGCCAACGTAGGTTCGGTGACGTGCTGCTCGTACCTCTCATCCACATTTGACACTCGAAAGAGTTTACTATTTTTAGTGTTTACTTTTATTGGCGCGTTTATCGCCCGTCACAAACTCGCCGTTGAACGCGGTGTTCACTTTTACATTATCGTGTCTTTCTATAATGTCTCGCACTCGTTCGAGCACTACCGGCATCTTCCAAAAATCGTCGCGGCTCGATATAGTTCACGTTGATCACCGTACCAGTCAATATACGGCTTTCAAACGCCGTATCAATCTCGCGCCAAACGAGAGATCCATTGTCTCTACTGGTGCTCGCGTACTCGCCACTAACGTGCACGAAACGTCTTTCTAATTGTACCTTTGCACCCGCGAGTCGTGCGATCCTCGCCACCACAGATTGTCTATTTGCAACGGTGAGTCAAGGACGCTTAACACGACTAAGTTTTTCGAGTTGTTCGATACACTCGTCGCATTGTTGCAGCCACGGGAAACACTCCACCAAAGTAGCGACCTGGCTGCATTGTTCTAGCAGCTCGCGTTCCACTCGCTCGAGATGTTCCATTTTTTTATACTGCGTCCCACGAAGCACTTGCACTTGCATTTGCACGTGATTTGTCCACAATATCGTCTTTTTTTACGCGGTGCGAATTGGGCACATATTGCATGGCATTATCACACAGACGGACTGTTGGCAATTGGAGCAAAATCGACCGTTTAACGCATCAAGAGTATTTATCTCATGCTTCCTAACGGCATACAATACTCCAATGTCAGTGTCCGCCAGACGAACCATGCATTCGGCATATATAATTAGAGCACCACCTGTCGAATAATAAAATTGTATTGAACAATACTTTTTATTATTATTCAACGCAAGGAGTTCCGAACGCGTAACAATTTTTTCTGAATAATCCATAAGTTCATCACTCATATCACTTATGCACTGTTGTCAGACAACGCATGTTCATCTTCGTCTTCAATGTCAATGTTAATATTGTCAATATTGTTAATCTCCATTTCTAGTTCATCTCCAAACTCTTCGTCCACTATATTCCTGAGGTTCTCCATGTTTATATTAAACACATTTTCTATATTTAACACATTATTCATCGTCAACTATTTTTCTTACACACAGTATCGCAGTCGATATTCACTTCGAGACTTCCGAAAATCTACTGTGATCTCGCATACCCAATGATCTACTGTATATCGTCTGTAATTTCGCTGTCCCTTTGTCAAACTCGAAGCATGGTCATAGATTTTCCAAGTCACAATTTGGATTTTTATAGCAGCCCAAATTTTCCCGTTTTTTTTACCCTCAATTTTTCTCCGATAGAAGATTCGATAGAAAAGATTTGATGACTTTTTTTTAAAGACAGCACAATTTGAAAGTAACAGTTGGAATAATATCAATCGATATCCGGAAATAGTTTTTTTCAACATAAAAAGAAAGAAACTTGGTATTTATGATGGAATATTATTTATCGGTGTAACATTGATAAAAAATCGTATTCAGTTTTATAGTTTCCGTTCCGTGTCACTGTCAAAATTTATTTGACTCTTACGTGAAAACTTGGACTTGACCAAACAGGAACGAGCATGTTTCAATATTTATTATTAGGAAAAAATTAAGAGAGAAGAAGTTTACCGACTTATTTTTATTGAATAATGAATTTTTCGAGATTGTTCGAAATTAACTCGTTACAACATGTACATTTGTTTAGCAGCCGAATTATTGGCGCTTCTCTTACCATGCTGTGACACATACAATTGTCAATGCTATTTTTTCTAAATCGGGACATCATTATAAATCTTTCGAATTTGTTTAGGTACATTATTTTCATTAAATAACGGATTTTTTGAGATTGTTCGAAACTAACACGTTGTGATACGTACATTTGTTTATTGCAGCCGGAGTATCGGCATTTTTCTTATCATGCTATGACACATACAGTCGTCAATGC